AGGGCACCTTTAATGGTTTGAACAGTTCTCTAATTAAGATATTAAGGCAATGGCACATCTGATTTGTGCCGCTTAGTCAAACATGATCACGAGGACACAGGAGGTGTCATCAGGTTCTTCACACAGTTCTGCTCCTTTCTGCTGAACCCAAGGCTCACCTTGGCCATCAGGAACTCCAGCTCACTCCAGGACACACTTTAACCCCCTTTTCCTACTAGTCAAAGTTCTGCTGTGGAAAGCAAGAAGAGGTGGGAAGTAGCTGGGAAAGAGGCAGGTATCGAGGCATCAGCTGGATGGCAGGTGAGGAAAGTTCAGCTGCAGACCAAAGGCAGTACTAAATGCTTCCAAAGGGACAGTTCCTAGGAAAAGATCTTCAGGGAATTATCTAGGGGACATTTGTGCCAGAAGGTAACCATACACATCCTATAAACAGAAATTATGTCCAACCCAACAGCTCCTGAGTATAATCCTGCTTATCTTCATCCTGACCCCATCCTGCCAGGCATGAGCCTCTAATTTAATTATTGCACCCTTTGTGAGATAAGAATTGTTTCCCCTGTTTTTATAAACAAGATACCATCAAAATTGCAGCTTGGCACGGCTCACTGGTAAGTTCAGTGTGTTACCTCATGGAAAATTAAACAGCAGAAACAACAACAAGACCAAACCCTTTTCAGTCAGCAAATAACCGGGTGTCCCCATCAGGACAAGCAGCACAGGAGAGCAGGAAGGAAGGAAGGAAGGAAGGAAGGAAGGAAGGAAGGGTGATTGTGACCCACCTTCTTTATGCTCATTGGCAGATGGGCATTTTTAAAGCCAGCTGAGGAGATGGAAGGTGTAGGTGTACCCAGGGGCTTTTCTCCATCCCTTTCTGGGCAGTCTGCTCAGGACTCAGTTATTACCTATTCAGATAACATAAAGTTCTTCTCACTGAAGAACTTTACATGACACAGTAAAATGGACTACTCATGATCTTGTCTCAACTTAATGATAGCTGAAAATATCTTTTTCTACCTTAAAGCCAAAGTAATGTAAATCAGGTTTCCATTCTTATGTTTGTTTGTTAATAGAACAGAGAGATATTTCTGTTCCTGATAAAATCGATACCTTACATTCAGTAATACTCAGGAATGTAAAGATGGTAATATCCATAAGATGCCTAATTTGGGGCATGAAAGGCTGATTGGAGGAGGTGTCAGGGTAATCCTACTGCACCTACACATGTTAGATAAGCACTGTGTGTGCTCCTCTCCTGGGTCCTAATAATTTCAGCTTATACAGCTAAACTTTCCAGAGGGCATGTAAGTTATTTATATAAACTTAGATTAAAAAGACATAAATTGGGGATTATGAGTACTTGGAGATTTGGCCATCAAAACTGAGCTGGTTTTATAGGCTCAGTTTCAGGAGAGTTGAACAGCACAGGAAGGCTCCCTGAGAGAATTCCAGTGTAGGCCACCATTATATTTTTTAACACCTAATAAATTTTACAACATTGCAAACGAAATATGCTTGGATTTCTTTCACCTCAACCACTTCTACTTAAAAACAACAACAAAAAGTTAATAAACCTCGAAGGATCCATTTGAAAACCAGGATTACATCGTCTGTTGGGATGTTTTATATCACAGTGCTTTTCTGAAGAAACTTTCCCTCAATGGCCACCATCTGGTGCAACTCCTAAGGGCGAATTTGGACTGCGTAAGAGATCAGCAGGGCCCCCTAAAAACACTTCTGAGGGAAAATGAAAGTCTTAATGCAACAGACGCAAGAGAGCTCACAAACAAAGGAGTCATTCATAGCTTTATCTCAGCTCGCAGTGAGGGTGTGAAGATGTTGAGAAAGCTTTGTCACTGATTTCTAAGTCAGAGCTTGTGAAAACACATTTGCTTTGCGAGCCTTGTTTTGGCTGGTGAGGGAGTGAGTTTTAGTTGAAGTCACTGGTACACAGCACGTGGTTCCACAGCAGCCTTTCAGGCAGCTCTAACTGAGCCAGGATTAACAGATGAGATCCCACAGCAAGGTGCACCGTTTTGTCTCTTGCACACTGTTGTGTGAGACGAAGGAAAGTCTTAAATCATTTAAATTCAGCAAGCTGTAAAAGGCAAATAGACCAAAAAACCCAACAACTCACAACCAAAACCCCTTAGGCTGTGAAACCTCCACGTGGACTTCTGGCCTAAGAAAACTGTTTAAAAAAGAAAGTCTTCCTGTTGAGGAAGAATGCAAAAGGCAGGTTTCCCACAGGAAGGTAAGCTCAAGGAGCACTGTCTACTTGACATCCAGTCATTTCTCACTTATGAGTGAAAAGACCTTCAGAATTTTGTCTCCTCCTGAAGACCCTAATTTTGATGCCTAAAAGTGGTATTTTCTTTTAATGTAAATGCTTTTCGCTTTCCTGTGGTAAACAGAATAAACTGACAGACTGCTTTACTGGCACTAAAATATATGAAGTCAACGAACTGCAAAAGGAGGGAAATTGTCTTTCTTCCCCTCTCCATCTGCTGCAGGCAGCTGAAGAGTTACTTATAGCAACCGTAGATTAGGAAAAAAATGCACATTGCTATAGAAATTGCCAACAGTAGACTCACTTGGAGAGCTTGGCTTTATTTGTAGACATTTCCAAACATTATTTGTTCTTTTTCAGGGCCTGATTCAAAATCTGTCAAAGCCAGAGACAAGACTTCCATTAACTTCAGTGGCTTTGGAGCAGATTCCCAGAGGACAGCCCGTGGCACCCCCAGCTCGGGCATTTTTAGCAGTATGTCCGTGTAAGCAAATTTCCAGTTGCAGAGGGAGGGCTGGATGATGCTGCAGAACACATTCCTGACAGAAATAAGCCAAAGGCACCCACTGGGAATGCACAGGCTGTGTCACTCAGCCTGGCACATTTAAGCTGAGTCTCCTCTATCACACCTGTTCCTGCACAAACAGGCTGTGTTCCTTGGATCTCCAAGGCCAGAGTGGGTGTGGGGCAGAGCCTGGCAGGTCAGCAGGGCCCCAGAAGAAGCAGAGACTCTGAAGAAAATGTCATGCAAATATACAGTGGCCAACTGACTGAACAGCAGGGGCTCCTAGCTCTGCAGCAGCTTGGATGTAAAACAGTTGGGTTGGGGCTTCCCAAACTGAAGCCTGTGAAGGTTTGGATGTGGCCCAAAAGGGGTTCTTAAATTGTAGACATTCCCAACAGAACCAGCTGATAATCGTAGTTCCATGGTCTCTTCCAGGAAGGGGATGGGTGTCTGGGCCAGATCCATCAGATAATTAAAATGTGGGTTGGCCTTCTCCTGAGCGGGGAAACCCAGTCGGAATATTCACATCTCAGCTGCTCCGTAAGCTCTCCCTATTAATCAGTCAGAAATTCGTGTGGGATCTGCTCCAGTGGTTCCACAGCTGAAGTCCTGATTTGCAGGTGTGGTGAGAAAGCAAACATCCAGCACAGTGTCTATGGAGGCATCATCGTGCGTTTTCTTCCCCTTTCCTCTCATCCCCCACAATTGTCCTACCCATTAAACACTTTCCCATGAACATTATCTTGAAAACCCTCTCCACAGTCCTGCTTTACCCAGCTGAGCAAGACAGCCACGAGCTGGAGGTCCAGAAAGGTCTTGGGATTGAGAATCCCTCTCAGATGTCTGATGGATTGCACATACTTGACTTTGGCTGGAAGCTGCAGAGCTGGAGCTGCGCTGGTGCCCACACTGCAGGTGTGGGCATTGCCTTCAGCTGCCCGGTGCAGCCATGCAGGAGGCATTTCTGCAGCGCAGGAACCCATCCAGCATCGCTGGCTCCGGCACCTCTGGGATGCAGGAACTGGCTCACTGATCCGTGGCTAAATATAAGTGCATGTTCTTTCAGCTTGGGGTTATGGTGGCATAAATTAATCATAACGGCATCGAATCCAACCGAGGTGATGCCAAGGGCAGCAGGATCACAACAGCCAAAGACCTTTATTTGTGCTGCGTTTCTACCAAGGCTTTGCAAACCTGATGGGGATCTTTTCATGAGGAAGCTGAGATGCACTTAGGGATTTCAGCTCCTAAATGTTGCTGGGCTTGCTTCCTGAAGTCCATCAGCAGCCTTTGGAATGTGCACATAGGGCTCCCAAGTAGTTCTGATGATTAAGGCAATATTTTCTTCTTTTCTAAATCATTATTTTAACTTCAGGCCTTCTCCTCTACCTCCCAGCAGGTATAAATATTGTAGCTCTATAAAGTTGAGCAACTTAGTTTTTAAGGGATAACAGGAGCATTTCACTTGGGGTGTGGAATTTTAAGAAGACACAACAGTTCAAAATTAAACTTTCCTGGGACAGCTGAGATTAACCTGCGTATGTGTAAACAGGTGGGCAGGATGAATAGGATTCAATAATTATAGACATTGCATTAGCATGCAAAAGAAGCACCTCAAACAACAATTGTTAGAGATAAAGCAGTGCAAAACCATTAAATTGTTTTAAAATTTGTAAATTTTATCTAGAGGAGCAGTGTGTGTTTTCTCATCTCATAACTCCTCGCTTTGCTCTCTTTCCTCACTCTCCTCTCATTCCTATTATTATATCCCTTTGCTGATGTTATAAAGACCTCCAGCTTTAATGTTTGCACAATGATGCCTTTGATGGAGGAGCTTTATCTCACTTTCCCATGTGTCCAGCAGCAGAATATATCAACTTTATCTTGTCTGCTCACGAGGAAAACAATGCTTTAATGTCCTCCCTTCCAACTGATCCCACCTGGGATGTGACATTTGCACAATGGGCCTCACAAGGCCCTTGCAGGGGCTCAGCATCAGCACCTGCTGTGTTGTCTCCTCGGACACAACCACCATTATATACGGCAGGCAATCAGTTCCACGCCCTGCTGCTGCTGCTGTGGGAAGCAGCAAAGAGCAGGAACGCCGAGGACATGCCAAGGATGACATCCCAAACTTGTGAAGAAGGCAGCAAAAGGAGTGGTGGTGTGGTAAGCAGGATGAGTGCCACACAGGGCACTGAGCTGGGAATGTGGCTGGGGGTTGCAGTTCTGATTTCTCTTGCTGGAGGCTCGGCTGGGGAGGAAGGAACTGATGATGAAGGGACCCCCTGCTCGAAGTACCAGCAAGCTTTCAACCACTCCTGCTATGAGTTTGTGAGACTCCAGCAAAGCTTCACAAGTGCCCAGAGCTGGTGTGAGAGAGGAGGAGGGCACCTTGTCTTTATTCAGAATGAGGAAACTCAAGAGTTTTTGCAAAAACACATTGCTGAGGAGCAGGAGTGGTGGATAGGACTGATCTCAAACTCCTCGCCAAATGAAACTACTCACGGTAGGTGGTTTTAGAATCACATCTCCTTTTAATCTGTATCAGCCCATGATGCTTTCTTAACATGGTAGAAAATGCAATTAGTCTCTTTGTAGATATCTGGTGAGAAACCTCGTGTCTTTGGTTGCTGTATCTTCAGATCTATAGCAAGATGTTTTTCAATTGCCTGCTTCACTTCCCAGTTGCATATTATCAGCCTTTCCACTGGATCTTGTGGTTGTGTGAACACATGGTGAATCAGATCAGCCTGCTGACCCAGTGGAACAAATATGCTGGGTTAGATCTCCAGTGGAAGAGCAGGCTGAGCCAATTCATCCCACGAGGAAGTGCTGTGAGGTCTGATGCAAGAGAAAGGGTGGAATCCTGAGGCTGGGAGCACAGGACAAAGTGGCAGTGTCTCTTTTAATGATTGTATCAGGTTCAATATAAAATGTAATTGAAGATCTTTACCCAGACTAAACCACCTCTGCTTCAGTAGGAGCAGAGCTACAATCCTGCTCTGCAGGCTCTGACTCTTAATTGAATTACTGTGGAAAATAAACATTCAGGACCCAATTGTGTGTTGAATTTCTTTGTTCACAGGGTCGATGATTTGGCTGGACACTTCAAATATGAGCTACACTAACTGGCACAAGGATCAGCCATCTTCCATCTCACCCACTTGTGGGTACATCCTGAAGAATGCCAAGTATCAGTGGGGTGTGACTGAAAATTGCAGCCAGGAATTTGACTTCATTTGTGAGTTTGGTAAGGTACACAAGAGCTGGAACAGCAAAGTGAGTGTGCTGTGACCACAACTGGGCATAAATTGCCTTGCAGCTTTCAAAGCAGCTGGGCAATAACTTCATCAATCTTATTAAATGCAAACAAGCAAACTATACCCCCAGAAGTTGCTTTTTTCCAAAAGTACAGCCAGGCTTCCAAGGAAACCACTCCTGGAGTGAGCAAAAGTGAGAGCAAGCTTTCCCTATTTCTTCCTAGACCCCTCCCTCAGGTGAAGTCCAAGGGCTTCCCTGGTTAAGGAACCAGACAGGAACCTGTACTTTCTGATTACATCTCAGTGCTCAGACAGAAAATCTACAGACATTGTGTCCCTCAGGTTGTGATTTGGAACAAACAGTCCTGGAAAGGAATGGCTGCAATATCATCCCATTCAACATCTAGATATGAGGGGAATTTGTGTTCCTCACACTTTGTACAGAAGTGCCTTAAACTGTAACTAGAGCTGAGGTCACGAGCACTGGAAGGACAGTCTGGCTGTGGGCTCACTAATGCAAAAAGCTCTTGAATCAAGCAAGCAAGTACAGGTTCCCACAAGCCCTGGCAGTGCTGCTGCCCTGGTCCAGCACTCTACTTCTTCTGACAGAAATGCCAAGTTGTTCCACAACAAGCAAAGCTAATAATGGTTTACTTCCTCTCCTGATTTTCTGTTCCACATCCCCTCCCTACCCTCCTCCTCAGCACTCCCAGTTCACTCCCAAATCCCCAGCACGTCCCACCTCTGCAAATCCTTTTCCTTCCCTCAGCTCCCTCCCCTGCAGCTGCTGCAGAGCTCCAGCTGTATGTGCTGGCCAGCTGAATCCCACACTGTGGAACAGATAAACAGGGTTATATGTTATCCCCAGTCCTAACAGAGGCAGTGATGTAGCTCTTTCTCTTCTCCCTAGCAATTGCTTTTCATTAAATTTCAGGGTGTTTTGAGGTTTATATCCATACATCAAATTTGGCTGAAGATGACTAACATTACAAATGACTGGAGGAGAAGAAACTGGCAGCCAGCACAATCCCTTAAGCTTATTTTCCTTGCAAAAACAGTCTAAAATTATTTTTCCATTACAGCCACGGTAGACAACTGTCTGCTTGCAAGGAAACTTATCATCTGTTACCATAGGATCTGACTGAGAGCCCATTAAATTCAAAGAGAGTTTGCATTATTGGGCAACAATATCCTACACTACATCCATCATTCCACTACCCAGGAAACCAGCTTGTTGAGGCAATTACAGCCTTGTTTTCAGTATCTGCAGCCCATGTGCATTCACACATAACACAAATTACAATAACACAGTAGAGTCCTCTTTTACCAGCTTTGCATGCAAGGAATTAGATCCAATACCCCAAAGAAATGAGAAATATTTTCATTAGCTCCTCTGGGTGTTAAATGTTTGGAAATTCCCACCACTTGACAGTGCCTCAGTTTTTCTGTAAAATGGGTGAGTGGTATTTCACAGCCTCACACGTGGCTACTGGGAGTTGGTGCTCACTAACACTGAAATGAACAGTGGCTCCAAATAGTACCAATATTTGAATTTAATATCTCTGATGCCTGATAACTTGTCTACTTGATCATCTGAGCTACGAATACGGGCACAATCAACCCACCAGACAGTGTTCTGTCTTCATCCTTTCTTTGCCCATCTACCCGAGCACTATTTGTGATTTTTATTATTTCAATTCCACCCTTTGGTGCTCTGTGGGTTAGCAATTTATTGCAGTAAATACACAGGAATGCAAAGCAGGTTTTGTGCACCTTTCCATGTCAAAGTTGCTGAGACAACAAATACTGCAGGAAATCTTTATATAAAGTAAAGAACCAAAAAATATGCACGAGATAATAGTCTAGACTAGAATTGAACAGCAAGTTATTTTTCAAGCTTATTTAGAAAGCTCTAATCTGTAAACTGATCATGTTGCCATAGTTACAGCCAGGCTTAGCCTTTAAATAACAATAGCACACAATTCTTGCAGTGTGCACACACTGGCACAGTTAACCAAGGGACCTGAGGGGAATGAGCCAAACAGCAACTGGAGGACAATGTGTTTAAACCTGGGACAGCTGAAACAAAATCATTCTTTTGCAACACTCCCACCATGGGAGCAGCTTTCACATCCTCCTCTTCGGGGTGTGAAGTATCCTGATTGCTACAGGATACTAAGAGTTCTGAAAGATAATTTAACTGTCCCAGATTAATCAAAGAATGAGGTGTATGCATTCAGAGCTGTGACCTTACTCATCCGAGCGGCCCTGCTGGGTGAAGTCAGTCAGATATTACACAGGAACAAAGGTGTCTCTGGAGCACAAATGGGATCAGCTCCCATGCTTAATATGCAAACTCTTCTCCTCAGCAGTTCCCTGAATATTATGCAAATCCCACAGCGCCACAAGGCTCTTTCAGAAGTAACTTTAAACCTTCCAGTATTGCAAGTCAAACAAATGCTAAGACTTTTCCACAAAAAAAAAAAAAAGAGTTTATTTTTTGGATGAAAATATTTTTGTTTATTGAAAATGTCCTCAATGTTTTGTTTAAGGTGGTAGAAACATGAATCTATTAATTTTGACTTTTTAAAAATAATTTTTTCCCATTTTTTTAGCTTAGAAAGGGAGAAAAGGGAAGAGAGAGAAATAAAAAAAGGGGACATGCAGTAGAATTGTAGCAGGATTTTTCAGAAATGCAAAAAGTTAGATTTATTTTTTTTTTCTTTCCTACAAGAATCTGGCCAGAGCATTGCCTGTGATAATTACAATGCCACTGTACAGTGTGGATCTGGAGAAGTTATTGAGATTGGAGAGAGCTTCTATGGACGAAGGACCCCTCATTACTGTGTGTCTGACACTCCTCTCCAGGAGGACACAGGTGAAAGCTGCAGCTGGAGCAGTGTCAAAGATGAAGTGGCAGGTAATTTATGGCATTGCTGGTCAGAAACACAGAGTAGGCACCAAAGTTCCCCGTCCCTAAAGTAACTTTAACTTGTGTTCCTGTAGAGTTAGAGAATGGGAAAGTGGATTATTCCTAAAATGGAGGGGATCACAGAAAACTTCTGACAGGGAGGAGGTTCCCACAGGAGGCTGGATGGAAAGGAGGGACTTTGTGAGGAAAGAAGAGAAGGGGAGGAGAAGCAAAAGGAGGGACTTTGTGAGGAGCAAAGATTCAGAGAAGGAGAGGAGGAGCAAATGGAGAACAAAGGTGTACCTGGCTCCTCTCGCTGTGTGAAGAGATGAATGTGGACACATTCCTGCCTGACAAACTCAATGGGAGATGCCAGTTTGGCAGAGATGGGAGGGGACACATCCAGGCAAACCCAACTCCAACCCAGGAGGGTTGATACCCACAGCAACACGAGGGCAGGAGGGACCTGCTGTTCCCTTCCACGTGTGGAGCACCCAATCCCCTGGGGCCAAGGGCTCTGCTGCTTCCCAGGCTGTGACCCATCCCTGTGGGGATTCTTTGGGCTTTTTTACCTCCTCTAACTCAGCTTCATTCCAATAAAATGAAATGGTGCTAAGAAAGACCAGGCATTAAGCAACACACTAAAGCCAAAGTGATGTGGAAGTTTGTCTAGAAATCAGTGACATGGCACTGCTTCTCCTCTGCTTTTTGTTTCTCTGTTGTGACAGTCAAAGACAAAACCCACCCGATACAAAGTTCTCCTTCTTTCCAGCCCAGTGTCACGGTCTCCAGGCCTGCCAGGTGACAGCAGATGGCACTTTCTTTGGGGATCCTTGTCCAGCTTGGGGAAGCTATTTGTCTATTCAATACCACTGCAGGGAAGGTAAGAGGGAGAGGGGTTGTCAACACCAAAAGCCTGCCCTGCTCTTTGCTGGAACATTGTGACCATTGAAATCTATCTTAAATATCACCTCTCCATCCTCAGGGAAGAAATGGAATAGCAGTGACCACTAAAAATAAGCATAAAAGTGTAGATTCCCTGTCCTAACTATGAGGGTTTGGATAGAATACAAAGCTTGGAAATCCAGACACATAAAACACACTTGAATAAAATTATGTCCAACAGGGATCTTGACCAGTAGGTATGGAAAAGAATCAGCTCCCTGTCACAGCACTAATGCACACAAATCAGCAGCAGCAGCAGCTCTGGTTTGGAGCAGGCTGGCTCTCAGTGCAGGAAAATGAATTGAATTATGTAAGAAATGCAGACAAACACTGGCCTGGAATTCTGTCATTCTGTTTTACAGGTCTGCAGCTGGTGGTGACAGATACATGTTTTGTCTCTGAAAATGTCACAGTGAGTCTGAACTGGCTGCTCTCACCATACTCTGGCAACCTTTCCTGTACCATCAGCACTGGAGATGGTCACACTATCGATCCTTACTACCCTCCAACGTAAGATACATCCTTCTTGTGTCATCAGGCAAACACTCCATTTCATTGCTCGCACTTTACTGAATATTTCAAGACTCATAAATATGTTAAAAATTAAGTAGATTAATAATAGACCATAAATACAAGACACTTGGACCTGCAGAACCCTCTTTTGAAATTACTACACAATTTTATGTCACGCTGCCAACCACAATATTTCTTGTGTTTGTTATAATAAGTGTTTCCTATTTCTAAGAGAGTTTATTCCAGATCCTGAGACTCAAAATTACTGATCTTGTCCCAGTGCTGGGAATGACAGAGAAGGCCTCTAGAAATTTATTTATCTACTAATGGAATCCTACTTGAGTCAACTAGGAAAACAAGAGTACAAGAATGAAACCCAAAAATGTATTAGAAACAGTAAACTTTCTTCAGAATGTTTCTTCATTCAAACACCTACTGAGAAATATGCATTATCAGGACTGATGAGTCCTGATCTTTGCATTTACTGGGTGATACCATGGTAAGAATCTAAGGAGTTCAGGGAGAAGAGTGTCTGCAATATCACTGATTTGCCTTCCATGGTGTTTGTCCTTCAGGAAGGATATCCTTAGTGCTCTTTGCACCATCCCCCCACGTGTGTCAGTGATAACAGCAACCCCCACAGCCATTCACCTTCCACTGCTGTGGTGACTGGAGCTGCACCAGACCCAGGAGTGAAGAGACATTTTTGCTGGCACGGGCAAGGAGAGAGGCAGCTGCACCTAAAACTGTCATCTCCCTACCTGACAGCAAAATGTACCCACCTTAGAGATGTGATTTGAGAATTACCACCCTGATACCAGGAGGTATTAGAAAGGGAACAATCTTCAACCCTACAGATTCTATGCAAATAAACAAGGCATTGCAGCGATTGCAGGATTGCTGAGCCAGGTCAGAAATTTGGGAGTGTGACCAGTGAAACCATTTAGGGTGAAGGACTTCCCAGAACAGTCTTCCACAACGAGCAGATGTTCTCTTTGAATTCCAGGCTGGTCAGCAACATCACACACAGATACTCCTCTCCTGGAGAGTTCACTGTCTTTGTGGAGTGCAGCACCAGCGAGTGGCACGTGATGGCCCAGAGGCAGGTGACAGTCCAGGACAAGATGGATCAACTCAGCATTACTGGGTGCTACAGCCAGCACGGAGCTGGGAGCAGCTCTCACTGCCAGGCACTGTATGGGGAGGTGTTGTGGATTCAGGTGGAACTCAATGGAGGTGAGGGTAATTTCTCTGCATGATTTCAAGGGCAGGTTAAATACTCTCATTCCTGCAGCTGAATGCTCCCAGCTGCATTGGAGGGCTTCTCTCTCAGAGATATTCCACCACTAAATCATAAGTATAAATGATTTTTTCCTATTTACAAAGCTGACAGAGCATCAGTCATAAATGCTGTGGATTTATAGGACTAAAGTTAGAGTTCATGCTCTGACAGAGCTCACGCTCTGTCAGAGCATGAACTCTAACTTTAGTCCTATAAATCCACAGGATGCCAGTCAGAATGTTTCTGTATTTGAAGTTAGAAACTCACAGGAATGCTTCTCTGATTGAGGGTAAGAGGATTCCACGCTGAGCTGGGCACATTTGCTGGTGTTCATTTCTTTCTCACACTTCAAGTGCCTGGAAACCACGTTTATGCTGGAAAAATAAAATTCAGTAATGTATGAATTCTTTTGGCTGCCCAGATAGTACCAGCAGGAAACACGTGATAGACTTCCATAAAGTCACCCAAAGTGACTTTATTAAAAAAGACTGCACTGCTGCAGTTCTTGTGACTGGAATGCTGCACAAAGCCACTGGAATTGGTTGGCCTGTTCCACAAGCACTGAGGAATTTCTTTGGTGTGTGTTTTCACAGGCAGTGGAGTGACCTACATTATGGTAGCAGATAACATCACCCTGGCTGAATCCAGTGCCAAGGAAGGAATTACCCCTCACAACCTGACACTGGACAGTGCCTCCCAAGAGCTGCTGGGCCCGGGGACACATCAGCTGGAAATCCGAGCGTCCAGCAACACCACGGCCTCGGAGATCTCCGAGACTTTGGCTGTTCACTTAGTGGAGCCAATATCTGGTCTTGAGGCTGTGTTGGCCTCCCACACTCTGCAGCTGGGGGAGAACGTGCAGGTGAATGTCTCTGTGCATCGAGGTGCCCCGGATGAGGTGACGGTTGAGGTGACAGGCTCGAACGAGACTCGCTGTCACACGGAGGATGGGCCTCGTGGGGAGCCTCGCACCTACGTCATTCCCACGCACTCAGAAGGTACAGCCCACCCATCCCCTGCTTCCCAGTGGAGCTCCCAGAGGGAGTCACAGCATCCTGGGCTGGGGGAACAATAACGTGCAGATGAATTGGGTGGCTTTTCTGACTGCCAAGCTCGGTCTGCAGAGCAGTGGGAGCAGCACGGTCGTACTGACTTGTGGGGAGCTAAAAACCTTGAGCTCCCCACGGAGACTGAAAGCAAAGCTCCACCTGAGCCTTGCCATGGAAAAGACATGGGGTTTATTTTTTTATGACACAATCTGATTCAAGTACAGATGAGGACATTTTCCTGAATCACAAAGTGTTTTCCTCCTGTTTGTTCACATGTGTAACGTTTCAAGTTTAGACTCCTCTGCATTTTACTCTGAAGGAATTAACAATCTGAGGAGTTCTCAGTAGAGATGACAAAGAACAGGGGAGCTTTTCTGTGTGCCCATTTCCAACACATAGTTTTCGTGGGAGTTAATTATGAATAAGCTTTTAAGTAATGTTTTCTTTCCATTATCAAGTAATCAAGGCCTTTAAAATGTGAAATTAAGGAGTTTGTGCTTAGGAGTTAATTCAGTGTCAGAAGATAAAAAAATCCCTCCTCTAATGAACTATTCCAATCCCATGCCAAGGCTGGAACAGTTGAAGCTAATTATAATTTCATTTGATGTTTTAAAATTATTCAATATTAAAAGTTTTATTAGGTCTTCCTGTACCCATTTGAACATCCCATTCTTTCAGGCAGAAATTTTCCAAGCAGACAGCTGCTCTCTCAAGATGCCTGAACTCATTTGGACTCCAGCATTTGTGCACCTCTAGTTTACTGTGTGATAATACAAACAGCTGGCAAAGAACAGCGTGGCAAGGGCTAGGAACAAAGGCAGATGGGTTATCAGAAGTTGAGATAAAGGGGAATATTCCTTGAAAGACTTTTCAGCAGTGGACATCAATCAGAAAATCCCCTGCAAAAAAATGGGATTTTCTATACAAATTATGATTATACCCCAAACCTGATGGACTGGTCCCACTGCTACTCTTAAGAGGCTATTTGTCTTCTCCAGGTATTTTCCTGGTGAAAGTGGTGGCCAAGAATGCCTTCTCAAACATGAGTCTGGATCTTGGATTCATCACTGTGTTGGCAAACTCTTCCCATAAAAGAGGTAATTGCGTTAATCTGACAGTGCTGGTTTTGAGGACACTTCTTGCAATCAGAGCCCTTAATGGAATATTTATAGTTTGCATCTGGTAATTGCTTTCCTTCCAGCAACAGTGCTGAAAAATTTTGTGGAGGCTTCTTCCTGATGAAGGCAGATTCCCTGACTTTGAAGTAGTCATAAATTAGCATCACCCTGCATATGCTACACATTGCACATTTGCTGTTTGTCCTAGAGGTAATTAGTGGAGTTTATGGCTCAGGACACAGCTTTGAAACCAGAAAGTCTTTGCATCACTGCAGCCTCATAATTGCTGTCAGTAAATGCTCGTAGATGGCTCATCCTTACATTTACAAAGTCAGATTACAACAGGAATAAAGTAACCTTAGCTCTAATTGTGCTGAAACTTTTCCAGTGCTTCCCCCCAATTTTTCTTTGTACATCAGTGAAACTCCATCACCTTTTGCGAGTGTATTTTGATTTACACCATTATGTGTGGAGAATCAGGATCATCTTCACAGCCTGTGATGAGCTTGTTGTCACAGTTTTGCCTATTTAATTTGACTGTTTTTATCACAGCTTTAGAGTCTGACTCTTCCAGCCCTGTCTTTCACACTGTCAGGAGCCAAAATCCTGTGCATTTAAGTCATATTCACTGAAGATGTCTGAAAGCTTTACAGGTAGCACGAAAATATTCTGCCTTTTTTTTTTTTTCATTAAACAGATTCTGCCAAGGAAGAAGGCAGCTACGAAACAAATATCCAAAAGGCAAGTGTAAGTATTATTTAAGGATCTGTCTTTAAAATTGAAATACATATAAATTTTTCTTAAGACATAAGACACTGGAGAGAAGTATTCATGGCTTAGTAGATTAGGGACCAGGTGTTGTGTGCTCCAACTGGTTTAACACAAAATCTACACCAAAAGTCTTGGAGGAAAATGTGTTTTCAGGCATTCAATCTACAATTTATTAAAAAAAAAAAGATTAGAGAAAATGGACTTCTCCCAGCTATTCAGTTTTTGGAAGTTGAAATTTGTTTGGATTCATTTTTAATTAATCTACTTGGATATTGCAAACCTCTCTCTGAAGGGTGATCCTTCAAGCAGAATTTAATATATTTTTATATTATTTCCAAGTGTTTTCCACTTCTATATTGGAATGTATAAATTACTTTGCAATGAAAAAAAACCACCCAGTTTATGGCAAACTAAGAAGTTAAGGATACATCAATTGCTAGCAGCTGTCCAAATTTAAAGAATAAAAAACGCCAGATAGAGTATTTTATCATCTTAGGGGTCTGGTTTGTAACTGTAACACCAGCAGACAGACATCTGCTACAGGAGATATGGTGCTTCACGAGAAGGCAGCGTGCTTTGCAGCATTCCTGTAGGAATACCTTGCACCAGAGGAATATAAATCGAATTCAAACCCAAGTTTATTACAGTTTGTTGCACAGAAAGACAAACTCAGCCACTTCTCTCCTCTCTTTATCTACAGCTGTCGTGTATCCAGGGACAGACCATTTAAACTGCAGATCTGCATCCAGTCATTTGGGGTGTAAACTTTCAGATCTTTTTCATTTCAAAGAAGCAAGATTTGTGTGTGTCTATACACACTCCTGTCCTAACTGATGCATTTATTATTATTATTTAGGATCACAAAAGAGAAGCCAAAATCTATGTTAGACCGAGTCGCCACGTGGATCCTTTCACAGCTGTTACACTTGGCTGGCCAGACAACACCAGGAATTCCAGTTTTCTCTGGTCCTGTGGTATGTGAATTTCCTGGACTTTTTTCACCATTATTTTGATGAATAACAAACTCACTGTCGTGTCAGGTCACGTGGTGAAAATCTGACTAAAGGATGGTTTGTTTTCTGGCTTTAAAGTTTGCCACTCACTGTACATGAAGGATGTCCCTCCACCTTACCCTGGTGCTAACACCGAGCTAATCATGGGATATAACGTGGCACGATACTCAGCTTTGCCTTCTCCCAAAGGTTTCAATTTAAACATGATGCAGAAAGATTTCTGGCTGAAAATTGGATTCAGGACATCTGTGTTCTGTCCCCATAATTATCCTTCACCTCATACATTGCTTTGAAGGAGTCAGCCAGTACTCTGAACCCAGATTACCAACTCTTTAAACTGGGTTTAGGAAACTTTTTTGCTCTACAAAGCTCTTTAAAACCTATGGCAGGAAAGTCCTTTATAAGGTATTATTCTAATTATAAAGGAAATGTTTGTGCAGGAGCTTGCTGGCCTGCATGGAGTGAATGTGTGCTGCAACAGATCATCCTAACCAACCAATCTGAGGTGCAAATCCCACCTCCCTGCCTTCCTCCCCCGAAATCAGCAGTGACTGTCAGGATTACAGTCCGAACCCACGGCGGTGAAGAGAGGCAGGACGAGCAGTGTCTCTATGTGACTGCAAAACAAGAACTGCAGCTGGAAATCAGGTCTGTTTTTAACCCCAGTATTCACTGGTTAATGTTATTCAGTGGTTAATGTTATTACTGCACAAATATAGTGCAAGGCCACAGTTACCAATAATAGTGATAATAAAGTGATAATGTACTTATAGAATCGTAGAAACACAGAATGGTTTGGGTTGGAAAGGACTTTAAAGATCATCTTGTTCCACCTCTCTGCCATGGGCAGGGACACCTTCCACTATCCCAGGTTGCTCCAAGCCCTGTCCAACCTGGCCTTGGACACTTCCAGGGATGGGGCAGCCACAGCTTCTCTGGCCAGCCTGTGCCAGGGCCTCCCCACCCTCACAGTAAAGGAAACTTATTGTTGTAAACCCATTTACAGCTGTAAAAGTACTGTCTTGCTGCATTTTCCAGTCCACATTTCTGAACATAATCCTTTGATTAACTGAGTAATATTCTTCTCAAAACACTTTGACCCTACTACATCCTTTCAATGTTGGAGATTTCCATATGCAAACCTCATTGAAACTGTGGGAATGAATGCCATAAGATATGTCTGAAATTGCTGGTAGAAATCTCATACAGTTACTGTGTAACTCCTTACAGGTGTGAGGCAAACTGCAAACCAGTGAATGTTAGTGAGGAAGTTGTTTTGAGTGTCTCTGGACAGAAGGACTCCCAGGCCATACAATATAACTGGTATTTGGATAACACATCCCAGACCAAGGTGAGAGCACCAGATTTGTCAGAAACACTGCACACACAAAGATAAATGTCCACCCTGAGGGAAAGCCACAGGGGGATACTTGGCCAAGTGGATGCTTTAAAAATATGAGTGAATATTGAGACAAGGGGTTGCCTGGTTTGGGAAGGGTTATAATGAAAGGCGCCAAACTGCCCCCCTGCTCCTGAGAAATCACAACAGAAAGCACAACAAAGAGCCTTTTTGCTGTCCAGAAAACAGCCATGTTTTCTCTCTCTCTGATTTTCCAGTCTACAACCCTCCCTCTGGCCTGTGGCCTGACTGGTTTCCGGCAGAACTCTTTGAATTTGCTTCAAAGCAACACATCCGTGTTGAGAATGAACAGCTCCTTCTTGCAGACACAGGGAGAAGCTTTTCAGATTAAAGTAACAGGTAGGGACAAGCAGGGTTTTAGGGCTTTTCAGACTCCTTGGAGATAATTCTCTGCCATCATGACACCACACTGACATGGAAAGCTGTCACTTTATATGTGGGTTCTTTAAAATAACAAAGAAGTTTTTTCTGGGCTGTTGCACAGCAGGACAGATTCAGTTGTCTTGCTCCGAGCTGTCTGTAACTTTGTTCAGTCCCATCCAAAATGAAGCTTTGCTAACTCTTGATCAAATAACACAACTTTGCTTTCTAACGCAAACATTGCCGTATTTTTAATAGTCCTTTTCCTCTTACGGTTTATTCAGTAGCAGGATTTCATTTCTAATTAGCCCCAGCCTGATGTCTGTGGTGCCCGAGGGAGCAGCACCGTTGCTAGGTGGGCACAGTGAGTGCCCGGAGCTCGGCGCTGCTGGGCACGATCATTGCCGACGTTGTGCTGCCTCCCCCTCTCCCAGCAGTGACTCAGCGCCGCTACGGGGAGGGGATGTACCTTGTCAGCACCGTGTCCCCGCCCGCCATCCCCGCCTGTGCCGTGTCTCCCGAGCGGGGATCCGTGCTCTCCACCTTCAGAGTCTCCTGCAGCGCTCCCGGCGTGGTGGATCCCTCGCAGCGCGGTCCCAACAGGCAGCTCACGTACTGCTTCTATCTGGAACCAAGTGAGTCCCCAGGGGAACTGTTTGGCCGCTCCGCAGTTTCAGCAAGCGTTGCTGCTTCCCTGACGACAGCAAAGGCACAACCTGCTCTCTCTGCAGGGACGCTGAGCCCGAGTCAGCCAGGCCTGCCCGGAGTCCCCTGTTTGCAGAGAGCAGGAGGTGTCTGCCTGGTGTCTGGTAGGTCAGCCCCTCTTTCCTCTTTCAGATTCTCTCCTGGACTGCAGCCCGGATCCTGAACTCTTCCCAGTCTATCTTCCACTTGGAGGAGAGGAGAATAACTTTACTGTACACGTGACAATTACTGTTAGCAACAGCTTTGGTGACACAGTTCAAACAAACGCTTCAGTGAAGGTACATGATAGAATGACTTTATTTCAAGAACTCTCAAGTTGATACCTAACCCATGATTCACTTTTGGAGCTTGTTCCTATTTTTGACATATCACTTCCTTCTGAATGTGCCATCATCACCATTTTCCCATCTAACAAAGACTATTCTTTGTGTGCCCAAGAGTCAAAAGTATCTTCCACTGTCCTTTCGGTAGGACAGAAGTTGGAAAGATGATCTGTTTGGACATTGAGCAGCATAAGATTTATTTAGTGAGTCTGGAGTTACTCTGTAGGCCCCAAGAAACTCCTGCTCCTTCCCCAGTGCCCCAGTAAGAAGATCCTTATCAGGCCATTAAAAATAAAACATTTAAAACAGGGAACATGAGGTTTTATGTCCCACTGTAGCGAGGCTGTCATTAAGATGATCATGGAAGCTGCTCAGAGGTCATTATAACAGTGTTGGCAATGCTGAGAGCATTTCTGATTTCTTCACCAGGTTGGACCTGCAGATGAGATGGATGGGAACCTGACCCTGCAGGGCATGGTGTCTGAGAAGGCAAACACCATCCTGAGAGATGGGAACAACAGCATGAGCCTTTTGCAGCTGTACAAATCAGTGACATCTGTCCTTAACCAGCAGAGCCAAGAGGAAAGCTTTAACACGTCTTTACAGACAAACACACGAAAAGAGGTCAGCCAGACACTTGTTTTGTTGCAGTGCAATGTCATATAATGGACTCTTCATATTCTTTGACAACTCTGCAGCCATAAAAAGCTCACATATCACCACCTGAAATCAATGGAGGTTTCAAGTTTCTAGCATCTGTCTCAGTGTTTGGCACAGGTTTCAGCTATTTTCACTATTTGCCTACATAAATAATTTGTCTTACCCCCCACCAGTAAAACAATTAATTCTCAATTGTTATTGCATTAATTTAAAGTAGTTAATTTAAACCTAATTTTCCACAAACCATTTAAATATTGTTAAAATAGCCTCTCCTGTGGTATAAATACCCTATCCAATTTTCCCCCAAAGCACTAGATGGCAGGTAATTTTCTCTTGCCCGTTTCAGCTGCCAGTTGATGTTTCAGTTGTAAGCTGATATTTGTACAGGGCTTTGAGTGCCTCAGATGAAAAGATCTACAGAAACGCAATGTATCCTTCAATTATGATTCATTATTTGAATAACATCAATCACACATGGCTCTGCTTTCTCTGGAAATGGCATTTACACAGTAATTCACACACATTAGTACAAATTCTCACAAGTAACTCTCTGTGCTCTTAATGGATGTGAAGTGTATGAATTCTGTGTGCTGGGAGGTAACATAAAACTCATGATTATACAATTATTAAGGCAAGCGGCATCTTGTCACTGGGCCTAATATGATCCTTGTTGTGGAGTCTTACTCTCCTTCATAATTTACAGCAAGCCTGGCTGTCAATATACAGCACTACTTGCACAGTCCTAATTAGCATCTTGTTCCTTTGCCTAATTATCCCTTTTCATCCCAAGCTCCGAGGGCTGATGCTGACAACTCTCTCTGCTGTTAATGTAACATCAGTGCAGGCTGCTCTTAAGATGTCAGAGGTGTTGAAAGAAATCACTTACAGGAGTGAGGAGCTGTCTGTCTCAGCACAGGTAAGATCCAATTCATCTTCCATCTCCTCACACCAACAGTGGAGACTCTACTGCATCCCACTGACCTTGGAAGAGTTTCAGTGCCTTACCCATTTATCTTACCCAGTTATCTGTTCTTACCCATATTTTCAACTCCACCAGCATGTCTATTTTGACCAGGAGGGAATACATTTTGCTGTTTAGAGTAAGTAAATCCCACTCTCAGATATTGTCTCAGCAACCTCTGCAATCCAGGCTATGACCATCACATTTATCATGCGTTTTTTAGATAGAAACCTTCACTTTTAGTCAGAAACATGTTAGGATGTATGCTTTGTCTTGTAAAGCACTTTTAGAACCCTGAAGAAAAACTGTCCAGGAGGGTTTTTTTTTCTAGCATTTCCCACATTCACTTGTCCCTGATCCAGGCACTGCCCAAAATGCACACAGGCAAGCTATCAGTGAGGCAGCACCCAGACCAACTGGGCACAAATGTGCAGATGGGTCTCACAAAAAGTATCTCTTTAATCTTATCTGGCAACATGACATTATCAGCAGATGATGCTATTTATGCTTAAGGTGTGAGCACATGGGAGGACAGAACAAACTGTCACTGGGGAAGGTTCCCAAACATGCAGGCAATAAAAAGAGCTCTCCTGATTCCTGATCCAGTGTAGGGTTGGGAGCATTTCAGCAGTATGTGGTTGACTTTGGCAAGACAGGAGCAGAGCTCAGGCTCAGCCCTCACCCTCCAGTAAGGCTGCCTGGAGTTTGCAGGCTGTGGGAATGGATGTGTCCAAGCTTGCACTGAATTTGCCTGGCTCCCTCACCACCCTGGGCTAAAAGCTGCCCAGTGCTTTCCCAATCCCAAAGCAATCCCTGGCTGCATTCAGGCACAAAATAAAAATTGTACAACTCGTTCTGCTTTGGCACCTGGCACAAGGCCAAGGGTACCACTTGCTGGCAACTCAGTAGGGTTTGTGGGAACTAAGATTGAAACACTTGCTTGGCAATATGGTGGTATTTTTTAGGCACACCATCCAAAAGTATAACCTAATTTACTACATTGCTGTACATCCTAACAGTGCCCTTCCCCAGTGTTTGACAGACAAGCTTCCTTCAGATTGGTTTTACAGATGAAATCTGTAGAAACAGGCTGCATTTCTCAGGGCTGTATTTCATTGTAGTCTAGCATCTAGTATATAATCTTTATTAGCATTTGAGGCATTACCCCAGCACAAATAATTATAGTAAAACCAGCGTTAGCCACTAACAGTGCCGTGAGATTACTGCTGTTGCAATGTCCAGTAAATGACACCAGTGCCAACCCTGTCAGCTGTGGTACCAGCACATCTGAACTGCTCCCTGTGTTTTTCCTGCAGGTGGAAGCCAGCAATACTCTGAAAGATGTCAGTGCTTCCCTGCTGGCTGTGAACCCTGAGGACAGCAGAGATGATCAGAAGTTAAAGGAAGCAGCCAACCATCTCTTTAATGCAGTGAGCAACGTCCTTAAAGCTTCTGCAGAACTCAGAGCTGTGAACTCTTCAGTGCCAGAGGCAGACCAGGTAACTTTGGTTTGGCCCAGTTTGTACTGGACTGTGTGTGAACATCTGTTTGCTTTGGAGAGGAGCTCTGCTGCCTCTTGTGTTTTTAAATTGGCACTGGGAAGGGTTCATTGGGACACCATGAGGAAACTTCTCCCCAGTTAGATCTGTTAGACTGAACATTTGCTACTGAAGCTTCTTAAGATTTGTTACATTTAAATCTGGACAGGACAGGGCACTGCAGCACCAGTGTATGACCTCTAATGGATGACAAGCATGTGAAGATGTTTTTTCACCTTTGATTCTATCCCTTCCTTCTGCCCCTTAACTCAAGGAAGCCACAGGTATTCGATATTCATGATTGCCACCACTGCAATCAGCTCTGGGTCCTGCTTTCACTTTTTCAGAAAGCCCACTCTGATGTAACCTGTTTATTTTGTCCTACCCTTTCCTATGGAGATGTGAATTGATCTGAGTGCTTCATGGGCTGCACATACTGTAATTTCATCACTGTGAGGGAATAGGGCATTAAATAAATCTAACCTGAGAGAAACTGGTCAAGCTCTCCCAAGATAACACACAACTCACACACAATTGATACGTAATTAGGTCTTGCTTTTCCAAGTACCTAAACACTAAAGTGTGCACCTAAAGGGTTTTCATGCACAGAAGTGCATGGATGCTTTGATTGATGTCATGTTTGTAGTGCTTCAAACTTCAGCGTGTAGAAGTTAGAAATAATAAAATATAAAAGTAAAATCTGTAAGACATTTATTTGCTGTCTGCAGTGTTTCAACTGAGAAACTGAATTGCTGATAGAATAACTTTTCCTGAGATTAAGAAGCACATCACCCAGTTTGTCAGCTTTGGAAGATGCTGAAATTTAAAGGAAGCAAAGATAAATGATGTGCAGCCTGATGATTGCCAGTACCTTTGTTGCAAGTTTTCTCCTCTAATCCTTTCCCAGATTTTGGTGTCCCACCAGCTCCTGAGTACAGTGGAAAATCTCCAGAGTGCCCTCCTGTTTGGGAAAGCCCCGGATGATGAACCCACAGTGCTCACCACCCCTTCTGCCACAATGTACATGCACAGGTAACAGCTGCAGTGTCTCCCACCAAGGCTGCTGAGAGTTAATGAGTTTGTTCCAAATATTAATTCCACTGTGTTTAAATGGAACCACCCAACTAAATATTGCAGCATAATGACAACTTCAATAGTGCAGTGAGGCTTCATTACTACCTGATAGTAAGAACAGTAACATCCCCTTAGGATTTCTCATGCTGTGTCTCCTTTGACCAGCAGAGAATTTACTCCTGTGTCCTGGGAGAGGCAGCAGTCACCTACCTTTGAAATGATGTGGAAAACACATCGTGCCAGTTAAGGATTTCTATTCTTTTCCAAGTTGCCAACAATGACATGTTACATAGAACTGTAACCAGCTTGGCAGAAGCAAATCCTGAGGAGCCTGATGAGCGTTCTCCATTCCCAATAATCATCCCTGAATTGTTCCCAAGAGCCTGGTTTTCATCCACCTCCCGCTGTGCATTCACACCAAGAGCATGTTCACACAGAAACCACGAATGCCTTTCCCAGAAGCACCTTGGGCACAACTCCCTATGCAGATGTGCCAATTCCCCCCCTTTCCTGATGATTCCATGGCAGTGTTATGTGCAGTATTACGTCAGGGACAGATTATTGTACAAAGTATTTACTGGCAGAGTTAGAAAGAGTTTTGCAACTAAGTTATCCTTGTGAAGAGAGAAAGCTTTTTCCCTAGTTATGAAGTCCATGTTATTGATGTTTGGTCTTTTTCTGATGTGGTTTTTTTTTTTTTTCCTTTATTTTCTATCTCTTTTATTTTCCTATCTTTTTTTTATTCTGCTTTGTTGTGTCCAACCCTAACTGGACAGATTACAAACAGAAAACATGGATGGCACGTCCATTAACATCTCCAATTCCAGCTCTGCCAGCTTTACTCTCCCATCTGCTTCCTCTCTCAGTGTTTCAGGACTTGATGATGAAACAGTGGATATAAGGGCAAGTAAACAGCTTTTATCTGACACACCCTCCTGTTATGACAATAAACTGAAGTATTTTTGGTTGAGGAAATCTTCATTTATCTACAATAGGTAGCATGTAATTGTCATATTTTTATAATAAATTTTTAAAGGCCTCTCTCTGCTTGATTTGACCCTCTCAGGAGGGCCCTACAATACCTGCAATCATTTTTTTCTTTCATTGCATCTTTTCCAACTCTGCTAAAAAGGGGTTACAGATATGGAAACAGTAAAAATTGCTGTACACATGCCACTCTTCAGAATCAAAATCACTTTCAAGGTTTGTGTTGACCTACCTTAGGGATAAGGTAGATTCTTATTTAGATCTGAATGCAGACAAATCTTCCTGAAAGTTGAGTCCTGTCTGGGTCTGAGCTCAACCTTTCACTCTTCAGCAATTTAGATTATGAATATAATGAAATATTGTCAATATCTCGGTTGTCTGATTGTTCATGTTTTGCTAACAGATGGTGAGCTTTGCTGTGAATCCCTTTTTCTCCAGTGACACCAGTTTTGACATCAGTGGAACAGTGGGGGGTCTAAGTCTTACTGGTCTGGATGGCTTGGTCATACCAGTCAGCAACCTCAAAGAGAACATTGAAGTAAATCCACTATTTTCTATCCCTCTTTTTCCTTTCTGCATTAATGAACTGTCATTTGTGTTTCCATCTTCTGTAAGGAGAAAACAAGTGCTGCAGTGTAGATTGCATTAGATAATGGGATGATGTCTGCATTTGTTATATGGGGATCTGTGTGATGGGATGAATGAAATAACAGATATTTCTGTCTTTTCTTAAAAAGGAGGCATCTTATCCTTCATTTAAATGGCTGTGAGAAAGAATGTTTTCAGAGGTTAGCTGACATTAGCAAGAAAATGACTTTGAAGCTGATATTTTTGCTGGCCATGCTTTGCTGATGTTGTGAACAAAGATAACGTAGCTGCATGGTAGGAGCAAAGTGCTTTGCTGTATTTAAACCTTTGCCTTTCTGTTTAAAACCAGATCATGTTACCAAGGCTTTCAGCAACTCAGGAAGATAAGATTCTGTTGAATCTGGGCAATTATAGCACTTTCCAAGTCAATGTTACCTCAGATAACACATCTGTAGTGATCCACCTGGAATCTGAACACGACATCCCACTAATCCTCTACCTGGGGTACGGTTATCACCCAAATGAGACTAATTATGATATGAAAACCCATCTGTTCTCTAAGAAAGCTGCTGGAGGTAAGATAATGGTTAGTGACCCGTGAACTTGCAGAGTGAGCCTGGACCATGAGTTCAGATGTGCAGCTGGAAAGAAACCTCTCACAGGAGTTTCAGTCTGTCGTGCGTCAGGGTTCCAACAGGAGCAAAGAGGGGGATGCTTTGAACAATGAGCTGCTAAGAATTATTTCATAGCTGTTTCTTTGGTTTATTTGTTATGTGTAAATCTCCATGCATTGAAACTAAAATGTTTGTCTTCAAGGTGAGACAAACACCTGGGTTCTCAGCCCAGCAGAACTCATTTTTGGAGAAGGGACCTACTATTTCACGGTTTTGCAAGATATGGGAATGGATTCCACAGTCCATGCTGGGCTAACTGTGGGTGTCACTTGCTTTGCATCCCGCTGTGTATTTTGGGATGAGCGCCAAGGGAGCTGGAACAGTCATGGATGTCATGTAAGTAGAGCAAAACAAAACAATGTTCCTGTTACCCACTTCAAAGCCAGCCCTTATAAACCACCATCCTGTGGTAAAATGATAGCCCTGAACTCACACCTTAAAACAAGATCATTCTGAGATGTTTTGACAAACTGAAGAAGTTTAGTCTCAAATGACATTTTCATTTCTGTTTCCTGGGATGAACTTCGAAGAAGAAATTAGAAAATGTTGACAGGGTCATATTACATTATAATGCCTGTTATTGGCCACATATTAATGTTCCTGACTGGAATTTGAACCGTTCTTTTGTGTACAGCAGTTCTCTGCACTAGCTCACCAATCTCAGTGCTATCTTTTCATTTGCTTGGTAAGTCATCTAATACTTTAAACCCAAATGTTTTATCAAGATTTTTTTTTTTTTTTGTGGTGGGTTTCAGGTAGGACCAAAAACAAATCCTAGAAGCACACAGTGCCTGTGCAACCACCTGACTTTCTTTGGGAGCTCCTTCCTCGTCATCCCCAATGCCATAGATGTCAGCAAAACTGCACAGCTCTTTGGCACATTTGTGGACAATCCTGTGGTGGTGACAACTGTAGGATGCATCTTTCTGATATATGTGCTGGTGGTTATTTGGGCTCGAAGGAAAGACATCCAGGATGATGCCAAAGTAAGTCTTCAGCTAATAAAGACTGGATGTATTTAGGCCAATTCCCACCATGCCCAGGCTGGGTTAATAAGAAGTCTTTAACTTATCCTGCTCCCTTCCCTGTAACTCTGTTTACTGGTAAGTTAATTTTGTTTACAGGATGACAAATTCCTGCTCCCAGCTTTCAGGAACCCACACTTCCAGGCCAGCTGACACACTGCTTGTGTTGTGTTGTTCTGCAGGTGAAAATCACGGTCCTGGAAGACAACGACCCCTTTGCTCAGTACCGGTACCTGGTGACAGTTTTCACAGGACACCGCCGTGGCGCAGCCACAACCTCCAAGGTATCCATGGCACTGTGTGGGGAAACAGTTTGTGCACCCACTCAGGGAACTGGATGAATAGTGGAGTGCCTGAGGCTGTTAAACAGGACAGCTCAAATGCACTGTCTAAGCTAGAAAGTCCTAGATTTGATGGAAGCTGGAGGAGCATTCCAGAGGAATAATCGTACATAGGACTGAGATGTGCAAGTCTTCATTTTGCCATCTTTTTTTTCCAGGTGACTCTCACCCTCTATGGAATGGAAGGAGAGAGTGAGCCCCACCATCTAACTGATCCTGATACACCTGTGTTTGAACGTGGAGGAGTGGATGTTTTCCTTCTCTGTACCTTCTTCCCTCTTGGGGAACTGCAGAGTATTAGACTGTGGCATGATAACTCAGGGGATAGTCCGTCCTGGTGAGTGGAGATCTGAAGATCCACACATTTTTCTTTATAATGAGAACAGTTTTCCTTTTCTAGCACTTGAGAATTACCCTTCCTAACATTCCAGAAGAGAAGAAGTGTTAGTTTCTCATTTTTGCAGGTGAAATCATAATCTAAACTGCACGACCAGGAGTGCTTCCCATACCCCATGTCCAGTACAGGATGGGATGTGTTCTGTGATTTACAGTTTAGACACATCCTAAGAAGCCAAAGACCAGAGTTTGTCCTCCAGAAGTGCTGTCCAGTTCTGAATTTCACACCACTCATTACATGTGATTGTGCCCTGTATTTTTTTCCAACAGGTATGTGAATCGAGTATTAGTCCATGATCTGGCATGGGATCAGAAATGGTACTTCCTCTGTAACTCCTGGCTAGCCATTGATATTGGAGAATGTGTCCTAGATAAAGTGTTCCCAGTAGCTACAGAACAGGACATGAAGCAGTTCAGGTACCTTTATTTTATGGACTTTTTTAATCTTGATAGCAGTCAATCTAGAAAAGCAAGCATGGAAAAGAAAGACCAAAGCCCCAGACAAAAATGAAAACAAGGAATGTCTTTCCAGTGCTCTGAAAGGGCTCTGAACAAGGAAAAGAGGAAGGATACAGTAATACCACACTGGAAAGACTGGTGTTAAAGTCTGACAAGACCTACAGAAACCCAAGCATCTTCTCTTATGTGTAATTTCCTTAACAATTTAAATAGAAACTGCTGATGATTCACTTTCCCTCCATGGTGGCCAAAAGGAAAGGACATAAGTAGCTATGACCACTCCATGCAAATGAAACCACAACATCTGGTAATTTCTCACCGTTATTATTCCTCCTGACAGTACCTACAAGCATGATGAGGTCAGGACATTGAACTACGGTTTTTATTCTTTCCTCTCCCCTCTAAGCATCCCTTTGACTTCCCTCTCCTCCTTCCCAGCAATCTGTTTTTCATGAAGACCTCCAGGGGTTTCCAGGACGGGCACATCTGGTACTCGGTTTTCAGCCGCTGCCCACGCAGCTCCTTCACGCGCGCCCAGCGCGTGTCGTGTTGCTTCTCGCTGCTCCTGTGCACCATGCTGACCAGCATCATGTTCTGGGGCGTGCCCAAGGACCCAGCCGAGCAGAAGATGGACCTGGGTAATGAACCTCGCTTGTTGCTTGGGCGGGGAAATAGAGAGGCAGTAGAACGTAGAAGCAGAAATGTTGAACAAACGGGCTTTTTCACAAAGATGCCTCTGTTTGACCTTGACAGGTAAGATCGAGTTCACATGGCAGGAAGTGATGATTGGCTTGGAGAGCTCCCTCCTCATGTTCCCCATCAACCTGCTCATTGTGCAGATCTTCAGGAACACGCGACCCTGGCCAGCCAAGCAGGGCACAGAGAAGAAGCCGGGGAAGAACGGCCGAGTGTCCCCAAGGGAACCCCCCACCCCAGAGGCCACCCAGGCTGCCTCGCTCACTCCAGAGGCTGTGACAAAGGCAAGTCCCTGCGAGTCCTGCACTGCCCTCTGCTGCCACGCACTCCTGGCTTCCATGGCTCCACAGCACAAACGTTCCCTGTCAGGTGCCCTTCAGGCGGTCAGAAGAGAAAAGCCAATTGCCGCGGGTGCAGAGCTCTCATTTGCCCACCTAAACGCAATCCCCGACTTTGTTAAGAGCTGCCTTTGTAGGTCCCAGCCCTTGCACAATTACTGTGTGCGACCAAATCACTGCGTTCGGGGGTAAAGCAAACACTGAGCAAGGCAGTGGAGATGAAAGGTATCACAGACCCCATCATCTTTCTCAGCTTAGGTCCCCAGGCAGGTAAGCTGTCCTTTTGAACCCTGAAAGCTCTCTTACTGAACTCACTGAAATCTGCTCCTCACATCCAGCACTGTAGGATGTGCTATTCTTAGCCATTCTGGAGATTTTAGCAATTGGTGCAGCTCCCAGCCCGTGGTGCTGTCAGATCACATCAGCTTAAGCCACTGCAGCCAGAGTCACTGCTATGTTGCTGCTGTCTTCCCTAGGACATAAGAAGAATTGCCAACTCACTCTTTAAAGCCCTGAAGACTCCACCTCTCACCTCAGCATCAGATCTTGGAAAAGCAACAAACATCAACACCCTTCTGTCGTTGGTTGAGGACGTCATCTGCCAGCAGAACAGAGCTGGGCAAGGGTTTTACGACGGGAGCAAGAAGGATGGCCCTATAATTGTCACTTTAGGTTCTGTGGATTTGCAAGGTACACAACACACTGTGAAATGCCCTCTGAAGCCTTTGCAGTGAAAATGATGACAGCACTGGATGTGATGACCCAAGCTTTTCTCACATTCTGACTCAGAGGCAGTCACAGACTTACAGAGCAGCTGAGGTTAGAGGGGACCTCTGGATCCCACCACTCTGCTCACAGCAGGGTCAGCTGGGGAAGGATTGCCCAGGATCAAGGGCAGTCAGAGTATGAATGTCTCCAAGGGTGGAGATTCAACAAATTCTCCGATCAACCTAGTCCAGGGTCCAACAGTCCTCACAATACTCTCCTGTTCAGAAAGAATTGCCCAGGTTTAATTTGTGCCCCTTGCCTGTTGTCCTTTCACTGTGCATGAATGAGCACCCACCTGAGTAAAGACAACTGTGAAATCTCTATTTCTTACACTGTAGAATGAAATATTTGCTACCAGTTCTGACTTGGGAGCAGGATCAGTATCTACCAGCATAAAGACTCACAAATATCAGTTGTTTCACAGTTTTTTAACCTTTTTTTTTTTTATTTCCCCTGTTGGCCTTGTGCTGTTGTTCCTTTCAGTTTGACTCTCAACTCAGGCATTCATTTATCTTCAATTAAATGAGGATATATGAGTAAACAATCTCACTGATTTCACTGAGACTCACATTTTGGCTTTTCCAATGAGTCTACCAAGCTACTAATTGCACACGGAAACTATGAACAGATTAACAGTTGATCTGATCTGATTTCTCTATTAAGGTTTTGGGACCTGTTTAACTAAGTTGCCCTCTGGCAACAATTCCAGCAGAAGAGTATTAAGCTCTAGTACTAAAGCTGGTTTTACACATCCCTTCAAATGTTACTCTTCACTTTGTCACATTCACAATCTTTAGCTCCAGTTCTACTCCCCTTTGTAGTGAAGCGTATTTTAATCTAGGCATAGTTTTTCTCCAGAAGTAAATAAATAATTCTTCCTCTGCAGAAAAAACAAGCCCAACTCCAGAGAGGAGAATCTGTGAGCGACCAAAACATGGTGATTACAATCGCTGCTTGTACACACAGCTCCAGCAGGTGGAGATGGAGCTGGAATTACTGGGGCCCCATAAATTCCAGCTGCCTCAGAGTTACAGCCAAGCTGTTCATCAGGTTCAGCACATGAAGAGCCTCCTGGAGCAGAGAATGAACTCATCAGCGCCCATCAGTGAGGGGTAACCTGGTTCTCAGCTCACTCTCAGGATAAGTAAATTCAGGTCATGAATTCAAAACTGGTCAGGATGACAGAGCCCAAATAATTACTGCTTAATATGAGCTAGATGACTATTATTACAGCTGTAAAAATAAGTCTTACTATTATGCCATTGTAGAAAAGAAATCTCCACGCACTGTGAATTGCACACAAAGGCAATAATGACAGATCATTGCTCTTTGTCATTTTTGCCTCCCAAATGGAAAGTTACAACACAATGCCACATGATAGTAAAGGGCTGGGATAATCACCAAGCTCCAAAGTCACTGAAGTCTCTTAAAATGTATGGATAAAGAAAAATTATTAAGCAGATAAAAATAGTGCAGTGAAATATGATAATTAAATTGGAAGGATGGAAAACAAATGCACTAATTATCTCTCTGGCCTTCATGGTGATCACAAGAGACACATCCAGCAGCTTAAATACACTCATGGTTTTCTCTGTCAATAATTCTACTGGAAGTTCAATTATGCATAAACTGAGGAGTAAATAAGGCTATCATATTTATTTTGATTTTAGCTGATCTCTGCACACTTCCTCACATTTTTGCTCACTGTACTTTTGGCTATGCACACATCCTACATATCTGCATTAGTCAAAAGAATTCAGAATATCTTGATTGAGATTTTAAATCATAAGATGTTGTCTGTTCCCAGTGACCTTGATGGTTGTGATTTTGGTCCCTGTTCCACTGCAGACTGATATTTTCTCTTCTGTTTGACTGTCAAGGTGGTCCCTTAGTCCAGACTTGTCCGGTGATGACAAGAAGAGTGTTTCTTCCAAAGGGCTGCCCTGGTGGTTTGTGTTCGTTGGGTGGTTCCTGGTGGCAGCCACCAGTGGTGTGTCCGGGTTCTTCACCATGCTCTACGGGCTGCACTACGGCAAGGACAACTCCATCAAGTGGCTGATCTCCATGCTCATCTCCTTCTTGGAAAGCCTTTTCATCACACAGCCCTTAAAGGTGAGGTCCTCGGAAATACAACCACAGGCCAAGATAAACTCCCCTCCTACCACTGCAGGAAGACAGCGTAGCATGTCCTAAAGAACTACAGGATCTGAGATATGAAATGAGAGGCCTTTGCCCTTAACACGAGAGCTGGCAGGTGGTTTGCAGAGTTTCATCTCCATTTTTTCATCAGGGTTTAACAGGAGATGAGGTTCCTGACCAGGGAAGATGTGTCACCGTGCACTGTTCTCTTGTTTAAGGGCTTCAGCTGCATCAGTTCAGCAGTCAGAGAGCAGTTGTTCTCTGCAGTGCCTGGATCCAGAGGGATCAGTGGCCTGCACATCTTTATGTGAAATGGGCATAACTCATTATAGCTGATTCTTTCCAGGTGCTGGGATTTGCTGCTTTTTTTGCTCTGGTTCTGAAGAAGGTGGAACATGAGGATGTAGAAAACCCAGCTATCGATGGGCCTTTATCTGCACCAGGTAAGTGCTGGTAAAGTGAGACATTAATAAAGAAAGTGCAGCATTCTCAAGCTTTTGGAGGGCTTTATGCATAAATGTGTGACCCAGCTCAGCTGAGACCTTCACTGGTTACCTTTACATGCCTGAATCTTAGCTGACAATGTTTGCAGAAATCACGAAATCCATGGGCATTGTGACTACCTGCCTATCCATTAGCATTCCCAAGATCAAGTGGAAATTAAAACAAACCTAAATAACTGATTTTGCATCAGTTGCAGAAAAAAATAAAGACTACTGGATGTGTAGGTTGGATAAATCCTGCAGAACTGTTTCCTGGAAAAGCAGTAAATAGAAACGTTTCCTTTGAATGTCCAAAGAACCACAAAGCAGGACGTGGATGATCTGTGTCACTAATCCCAAGGTTTACTGCTCTCCCTCACAGGTGATTCACACCCTCTCTTAGGAGCCCGAAGAGACAGTAGAAGCAACATTTACCGGCCACCTCCTGCAGCTGATGTGGAGAAAATGAAAATCAGCTGCATGAAGGAGCAGAAAGCATTTGCCCTCATCCGAGAAATCCTGGGTATCCATACGTGGATTATCTTGCTTTATTCAGTAGTACTCATCAGTACTTTGACAGCAGTGAAAATATTGTTCTCTTGGGTGACAAAGTTTTGGCAGATCTTCAGCTTTCTGCCAGCCATTGTGATGTGGAGACAGGCTGTTCTGTGGCAGCTGGAGCTGCAAGGAGGTGGGAATGTTGGCTGGGGGTAAAAGTGTGGCTAAGTCTCGATTTTTTACGGTAAAGAAACACGTCACAGACACATGAGAGGCTACAATAAAAATAGGAAGGATAGAATGAGGAGATCAACAGTTAAATGAAGCTGAAGGCAAAGAGCAGATGGGGAACATCTTTCTAAAAGCAGTAATATCTTTAGTAATGATTTATACTCCTGTTTTATTTCCTCTGAAATCAATGGCAAAAATTACCTGAGCCTCACTGGGAACAAAGTCAGACTACTCATGTTATCCTGAGCTGCCATGACTGCTGCTGTTCAGCCTTCCCACTTGTTCTCTTGACTGCTGCTCCCATTCCAAGTGTGAAACAGTCAAACTGCAGCAGCTTCTGCACATTCACTAGCACTGGTCACTCAGAGCCTACAAAGCCCTCCTTGGCCTGGTAGGTGCTGACAGCAGTGATCATTCCTGCAGTGCATTTTGAACAGCATTGTTAATTCAGATCTCACATGTGCTGTCTCTCCCTGTTTTTTCCTAGCCTATGTTGGGTTTTTATGGATGCTGTTACTGGTTGCCTATGGGCAGAGAGACCCCAATTCCTACTATTTGAACAAGCACATTGAGGACAGCTTTACAGCTGGATTCCACCGTGTCTACAGTTACCAGGATTTCTTCACCTGGGCAAACACCACCTTACTCAAAAACCTTTATGGATCATATAAAGGTGCAGACTCACATTGTTTCCCTTCAGCTTGCCAGGTTCTGAAACATAATCTTTTATACATATCCCTAACTTTACCAGGCATATTTGTGAGAGTAAAAGTCTAGCATGGATTCCTATCATATGAATACTAGTGGATAACAAAACCCCCACAGCTTGATCACAGGTCAAATGTGCCCTGATATTTTCCTTGTATTTTATATAAACCAAAAGTTCTGCACTGTAATGCTACATTTTTCACGTTTTATGTTAGGTACTGCAGATATTCAGATACATCCCTCAGTTCTACACAAGCTTCTTTCCATAACCCAGAAAAGAGAATGGCAGACAGGTGGCACCACAAAACTTTTCTCAGGAGGGTTGTTTGCATCAGGGCTCGGGTCAGTGAGAAGGCAAATTATGCAATATCACCGTGTTTTCTCTATGTAGCCACATGCAGAAGGATCTGACCCATTTTCCAGCTCACATTTAAGGGTAAATACTGAAATACATCAGCAGAGTTGTTCTTTGGACACGACAGGCCACACAAACGCTGCATAAAGCTACTCTGCTGTGGGAGTCAAAGTGAGTCACTTTTCTCCCCCAGGCCTCATTTTCCTTCTGTATAAAATACAGATGGGTAGTGATACTGAACTCTGGTTTTATGAATGTTATTTAAGAACTCAGTTCCAATCAACATGAAGTATTTTGCTTCCAGTGTTTCTGAGAAAAGAATACAGAGCAAAATATTAATGCATCAGTGAATCATAAATGAAATGAAGAAATATTATTAGCTCTGTCATGTTGCCAGTGCTGCTCTTTTCCATCTCCTGTTCAGGATTCATCACGGATGGCAATTCCAAGCTGGTGGGTAGTGCTCGAATCCGCCAAGTAAGAGTGAAAGGAGACACCTGCCCTATTTCTCCCAAACTCCAGCATGTAGTTGAGCAGTGCCATGCTCCCTACTCCCTACACACAGAAGATACATCAGTTTATGGGGAACACTGGAATACTTCAGCCTTTGATAACTCCTCTGACCTGAGCTCAGCGTGGCAGTATCAGAGCCAGTCCAAACTGAGAGGGCAGCCCAGCTGGGGTAAACTGGCCATCTACAGTGGAGGGGGATATGTGATTCACCTGGGAACAGATCCTGGCAATGCCTCCAGGTACCACTTGTGTTCTTGGAAGTTATCAGTGTGTCCTCCCTGTGACACTGTCTCTGTCCTGTACGAGTTGGATCACTGGCTTTACATTTTTTTGGCAGAATTCTCCAGTACCTTTTCAACAATGTCTGGCTGGACACCTTCACCAGAGCAGTGTTTGTTGAATTTACAGTCTACAATGCCAACGTGAACCTGTTCTGCATCATAAGCCTGATGTTTGAGAGCAATGCTTTAGGTGAGAACCTTTCCTGAGTCACCCATTTCTGAAGACAGCAAGCAGTGCACTTACAGAAGGTAGATTTACATGCTGTCAGTGTTTTCCTAGTTCTTCATTCAGTAAACAGAAGGGTTTTTAATAAATCTAATCAGGACAGAATCAATGCAAACTTTATAAATCATTTAGGAGAAATGCAGCAACACTGTAATACTGACCAAAATGGAATATTTTATGTTTGCTTATATTGTAGTCATCTGCTGATGAAGAAAATGTGGCACTGAAACTTAACCTCCAGAATTTATACAAGAACAAATTGTTTCATCATCTCTTCAGCTAATCAATACAAGATTAAGACAAAAAGTACAAATAACAGTCTGTCTTTTTTGTTCCAGATGACTTCCAGTATGTTGCTGGGTAGTCATATAATATGTAACCTGGATAATGAAGAGAACAGTGAAACCATAATCTGGTTTAAAGGCCATAGCAACACATTTGGTCAGGGAGGAGCCTCCCTCAGGCCTGGCCTGGTACTGGAAAATGCCCAAACTGACTGCAAAACTGAGCTCGAGTTCCCTTTAGAATGAGATTCAGCTTTACATCTCAAGTCCTGCTCCAGTCCTGCATTTGCAGTGCCATCCAAACTCAGGCCTGCTGGGATTAGAGCTGTGCTGTGACACAAGACAACACTAGAGCTCTGAAAGCCATTGAGTGTCTGAACACCTATTTGAGGAAAATGTCAGGGAACACTGACAGGGTTACTCACAGAATCAAGTCTAAACCTCATTTTGATAGTTGGAGTGTGAAAGCAAGCACAGAAGTCTGACTGGTGAACTGAGGTGTTGGAATGACAACAGAGGTGTGACTATCAGAGCCCTGTTTGTGTTTTAGGGGCCTTCTTCACAAGTGCAGAGCTGCAGAGTGTCCGGCTTTACCCCTACACCAACAGCCTCCACCTCTTTGTGGTTGCAGCAGAAGTGATTTATTTCCTCTTTATTGTGTACTACATGATAGTGCAGGTGAGGTCAATGGAAAATTCACCATCACCTTGTGTCTGGGGTGGATTTCACTTACAAAAACTTTGTTACTGTACTTGGTTTCAGAAGCGCTGCTGTTGCTACACCAATGGAAGTTTGACTCACGTACAGTATCAGTATAAAATAATGGGAAGGCAACATTTTTATTTGGCTGGAATGCTTCTTTTGAAAAAGATAATGAGAAATTAGTGCAAGCTGTACTGTTATTGATGCACAGTAATCTGCTTTGTTGCAGAGGGGATTGCCCTAATCTTTAGAGGTATTGTGTGATCTGGAGTCATGAGACTGAGACAGCGAAACTCCTCTTTTCACAGGGAAAACTGATGAAGAGTCTGAGATGGAGATATTTCCACAGCAAGTGGAATCTCCTGGAGATGGCCATTATACTGATTAGCTGGAGTGCTCTGTCGGTGTTTGTGAAGAGGACAATCCTTGGGACCCGAGACATCAGTTACTACCAGGAACACAAAGAGAAGTACGTACTAATGCTATTTAGTGCATCCTTTGTTGTTGCTACTTATGCAGAAATAAATCTGTTTTTCCCCTTCCCAGACAGCAGCTCGCCTGTGCTAAATACTGCTCTCCTGTATGGGTACATTCATGAAGCCTGTAAGTGTTTCAGGGCTTAGATCTGTGTCAGCAATAGGATTTTCTTCTGACACCACTCTAATAAAATCCATCAGACTTGAGCACTAAGTTTCCCTTTCTAGCTGCTGATTTCCTGTCTGCATCACCCTCTTGTGAACCAACAAGCCTTTCTGCTATGGGACATCCACCCAGAAAGCACATAATCTGCTTTGGGTTTTGTTGTAAAAAGCCATTGGTTAGGGGACAATAAAGGCTTATTTAGTATAGAATGGAAGATTATAACATCTGTTAAAATACAGTCACACAAGAAAGAAGTGACAGGATCACAGGATGATTTAGGAAGGAAAGGACCTCTGAAGGCTTCTGTTCCAATCCCCTCTTTTGGTGTTAGATCAGGTTGCTCAGGGTCTTGTTTGATTGAGTTTTGAGTATCTCCAAGGACAGAGGTTCCACAGCCTCCCTGGAGCCCTGACCCAGTGCTGAACTACTCTCATTATAGAGAAAAAACACTCTGTTTTTTCCATGTCCAGCTGGAATTCCTCTTGCTGCAGCTTGTGGCTATTGTCTCTTGTCATTTCACTGTGCACCTCCAGGAGGTGTTTCACTACCCCCTCTCCACAGCCACTGACTACACAGCTGGAGACAGCAGCTGGAGGCCTCCTTAGCTTTCTTTGCTCCAGACTGAACAAGCCAAGCTCCCACACCCTTCTCTCCTGTGTCCTGTACCCCCACTCCCACCCATCTCAGTGGCCCTTCCCTGGACTCAATGACTCCTGGCACTGGGGAGCCCCAAACTGGGCTCAGAATCCCAGTTGCAGCCCCACATATGCTGAGAGAGCAGAAAGAACAAGCACTTCTTTAACCTGACAGCTCCATTCTTGCTAATGCAGCACTCCTGTATCACCCAGGAATATGTCACGAGCTCTATTTGTGCACATCACTTATAAAAGCTGCATTAGCTGCCTTTAAACTGTGACTTGCTAAAAATAAGCAGCATTTGGGCTACAGCCTAGACCCTCTCTCATTAAAAAAACCCAAACAACTCTGCCCTGCACAACTGAGCTTTTTGTGTGCACACAGCAGGAAGTACAGGTGGGAAGACTCCAGCAGGAACTCATTAGGTCTCCAGTGAAACCAGGACAGAGTGACTGGCCTTTCCAGCACACCCATTTCTGCTCTTCAAAGGACTCTGTGTGCATGCTCTGTCACACCTTTCCCTTTTCTCTGGCAGCTCTGTGAGCTTCAGCGAGACAGCGAGAGCTGATGCAGTTCTTGGCTACCTGATCGCCTTCCTGGTGCTCCTCTCCACAGTGAAGCTGTGGCACCTCCTCAGGCTCAACCCTAAGCTAAACATGATCACCTCAGCACTGAGGAGGGCGTGGGGTGACATCTCTGGGTTCCTCACTGTGATTGCAATCATGTTCCTGGCCTATTCCATTGCTGTGAGTAGCCCTGTGCTTTCTGTTGTCTGCAGGCTGTGCCCAGGTTAAATGAGTTCTTTCTGGATGCTGAAGGCAACACAGCTTTGCCACGTAAAAGGGAATAAAGGCTTCTCTATGTGGAATAGATATGACAAAGAAACAAAGCACAGGGAAAATAATTTTCTGGATAAAGCTTAAATTGTGGAGAGCTCAGCAAGTGCCATTTTCTGCTTTTCTGCCTATTGCAGGAATACTTACTATACAAGTACAATTATATTTCATCCTAATGAGGTTAAAGGATTCTTGGACTGCAACAAAACTGAAACAGTTTGTGTAAATCTTCTGGCAGGGTGAAATTCAGCAAATTAATTGCAGAGTCACTAAAAAAAGTGGAAGCATCTGAGCCAAATCCAAGCTGTCCCATAAAGGACAGTCCTATGACAAACAGGACCTGCTGCAGACTCACGCTGCCTGATTTCATGTCCCTCAGGCCTCCCTCCAGCACTGACACTCGGGCAACTGAGTAGCTTTAGGCACTGGTGTGGTCACAAACTTACCAGGTAAATTAAGAGATCAGATCAGTTCCATGACCCAGCCTGCTGTCCCATCGTGTGAGTGATGGAGCTGTGAAAGAAAGAAGCAGAGGGATGATGAAAAAGGTGAGAGTGCAGCAGCCCCCATTTAAATCAGACACAGTTGGCCCACAAGGTATAAATTAACAAATCAGCATCTTGGTTACTGAGGGCAAACAAGGAGGTTGCCTATTTGGAAGGATCTGTGTTTGTGCCTGTGAATTATTTGGACAGGGATAAATCTGCTCCTTGGATTTGGAGCTAAATTACTTTCATGATTTTTGTCATGTATTTGCAGATTTTTTCACAAAACTAGTGGCATTCTCATAGCCATGATAAAAGGTCCTAAAGCTAAACACACTCAGAAAGTGTGAATCCAATTCTAGCTCTAGGTTAGGCTTCTTCTTCTGTGACCTCGTCTGATGTTTCCCCTGCTCGTAAATAAAAATAAAACCCAAACCACAAAAAGCTTCATGGCTCTAATGACAAGCTGGGAGGGTTTTCTCTGAATACAGCAGTCATTAGCTGATTTTGCAGCAAGGACTCTGATCATGACACAAGATGTGACTTCTGTCCTCTGCAGGCAAACCTGATATTTGGCTGGAAGCTCTACTCTTACAAAACTCTCTTTGATTCAGCAGAGACCATGGTCAGTCTTCAGATGGGAATCTTCAACTATGAAGAGGTACCACTTTTAATTTTGAGAAGTTTATCACCATACAGTTAGCATCTCAGCTACCAAAGATGCTTTGACCCAGCAAACAGAAATACTTTCAATTAGTGTTAAACATTAACATAATTTTGCAAGCTCCACAGCTTCCTAAAGCAGCCGCCTCTTCTCATCAAGAAAAAGACATCAAGTGAAATCTCTCTCATGTCCCATTTTGAGGCGACTCATAATGAACCTTTCATTGAGAAACCTGCTCCCATTTCAACTAGAGATGTTACTGATTCATTACAGAAAGTTTTGAGCAATTTCCTTAGAAAGCTAAAGATAGAAGTGTGAGTGGGCCTTGTGTTTGTTCTGAACAAACCCTCCAGCTCCCCAGGAAAGGCAAGAGGAACTTTGTGTTACATCTGTTTTTATTATTCTTGACATTTTCATTAAGTTCTTTCAAATAGTGCAATACCCTTTGAACACTCTTTTTGTGGAGCAAGATAATTCTTGGACATCTCTGACTGTGAAGTCGTCCTTGGTGGATGTTTTCAGAGGATGGATCCAATAGGATATGGGTGGCTTTGAAGATCAGTAATTGGGAACTAAGTTTTTTTATCTCTACATCCCACACATGTTAATCATGGAAATATATTCCTATGTTGGAGCTTACATGCAAATTAGGGGTTTGGATTTTTCACAACCCTTGGTTTGTGAGTGTCTAAGAGAACCTGATTGGGCTTCTCTGTAAAACATATAATAAATTAAAATAACTGCACACAGAGATTTCATGTGTACTTTGAAAGCTGAGGTGTGAGGGAGCTTCAGTTGTTCTGTGGATAAACAGATCTCCAGGCTTGTCAACTTTCATATGAAACTTTCATACCATTACAATCAAATACAAATACTTAAAAAACCCAAAGATTGCCCATCTTTTATATATATATATATATATATACATAGAGAGAGAGAGAGTATCTTTTCATGTTTGTACTATTTCATATTAACACACAACAGTGGCTAAAGAAGAAAATGTATATATGTATAATACATATGGTATAATTGATTAGACACAGGATTTTCAGAAAGACAAACCTTTTGGTTCTTAACTGCTTGTATGTATGTATGTTTGTGGTTACAATCACGACATGATGTCTTACCTTATGAATTATACAGGTCTTGGACTACAATCCAATTTTAGGCTCCTTCTTAATTGGATCCTGCATCATTTTTATGACATTTGTGGTACTGAATCTGTTCATTTCGGTGATTCTCGTTGCTTTTAGTGAGGAGCAGAAGCACTACCAGGTGTGTTCATCTAAACTCTCCTGTTTTTAGTATTTATTGTTCAGTGCTTACTCGTGATTTAGGTAATCAACCTTGAATGAAAACCATATAAATTCAGTCCAGCTCTTAAGAACTCAACATTTGCTGAGAAAGCACACTTCAGATTTTCCAGATTGACTCTGTCTTTTCCTGGTCAGAGGACTTGCTGTTCAGACTCCATACGAGATCTGATTTGTAGCCTTCTCTTCACATACTAAATCCAGCAAAAAAGTCTAAGGCTTGTGCTATTTTGAAATCAGTGCCAAAACTGCTACTGAAGTGCATGAGGACTTTACAGCTCCTTTTAAAACTCTCATTGTGAGTGCCTGACCCATTCAAGCTATTGATAACGTGGTGTGAAATCCAGCTTAGCGCTCCAGTACTGCCCAGAATTCCTCTATGTTTTAAATAAAGGGAGATGAAAACAAAGGATGTGGTTGGTAGAAGACAAGATATATTCAGTTTTTCTCATTTACTTCGTCTAGAGACGGTGGGTGGCTCATTGTACATACCACTGGCTATAATGGGAGCTGGCAAGTGAACTCCAGGCTCCTGTAGAAAGATTTCCATGGGCTTTGACAGAGCCAAATTTTCTGTGGTGCCCATGCCCATCTGGGGCTTTTGTCTGGATAAAAATATTGGCAAGTTTTGCTTTGGCAGTCACTCATGCTTTGCTGGGAGTGAAAGTTGGCTTATTTCAACTCAAGCAGGGATTTTGTCTTGCGACTGAATCCACTCCTGGTCTCTGTGCATCCCAGTAACTTGCTGCTTGTTGTTATTTCAGGCTTCAGAAGAAGAGGAGATCGTTGATCTCATGCTAATGAAACTCTTCAGTTTCTTCGGGATTAAATGCAAGAAGGAAGAGAAGCCACTCACTGAGGGGCAGCTGGAGCAACCTGTCAGCGAGTGAATGATGACCACGTTGAAAAGTCACTTTGCTTGTGGGCAAAATATTTACTTGTTCGCTGTCAGCTGCAGTGGTTAGGGTTAGGTTAGGCTTTAGGCTTAGGTTATCGCAGCTTGCCACTGGAACGGGTTTACCCAAGGGAATGTCGTGACGCTGTGTCAGGGGAGGCTTAGGCTGGATATTAGGAAAAGGTTAAAGGGGTCGGGCACAGAACAGGCTCCCAGGGCAGTGGTAGTGATTCCAAGCCTGAGAGAGTTGAAGGAGCCTTTGGACAGTGCTCTCAGGCACGCAGTGGGATTCTTGTGGGTGTCCTGTGCAGGGCCAGGAGCCGGACTTTGATCATCCGTGTGGGTCCCTCCCAACTCAGAATATACCGTGGTTGTGGGAAAATGACGCGGTGTCCACCAGCGAGCCGTTCCCAGCGTGTTATTTTGGAGTAACAGCTAAGAAGTAACGCTAAACCTAAGGCGAAACGTCCCACGTGCACTTGCTGTAGATTCGGCACCTGTATTTATTTAATAAACACTGAGCGTCTGTTGCAGTCTGGTTAAACCCCCCCGCTCTCCCTCACGGGAAGATGGCGGCTCCCTCACGCCGGCCCCGGCCCCGCAGCCGGCGCGGCGGGGGCTCTCGGAGCTGCATCCAGGCGGCTCCTCACGGCCCGCGGGTCCCCGCCCGGCCCCACCGCCGTGAGGGACCCGCTGAGGGCCGGCACGGCCCCGTCGCCGTCCCCGCCCCGCCGCCATCGCCGCCTCCCGCCGGCGCCGCCCCCGCCCGCCCGCGGCAAAGATGGCGTGGCGAGCGCTGCGGCGGGTCGGGCCGGTGCTGGCGCTGCCGCCGCGCTGCCCGCGCCTCCCGCCGCCACCGCGGGTGCCCGCGGCCCGCGGGCTGCGCACCGGGGCGCTGCTGCTGTCCGGTGAGTGCCGGCCGGGGGAGCGGGGCGGGGAGGAGCGCGGCACAGGGGCCCGGCCCCGCGGGGAGGCTGCGGGCAGGGTGGGCTGCGGGATCTCGTCCCCCGGTGCGGTGTGCGCGGGGCAGCCGGGGCGAGGGAAGCGCCGGGCGGCAACCGCCCTATATCCCTCCTTCCTTCGCTCTGTCCCTCCTTCGATCCCTGCATCTCTCCCTCCCTGCCGCCCAGCCGTGTGTCCCGGCGGCCCCTCGGAGGGTACCGGGAGAGCCCCGCAACGCGGCTGAGGCCGCGGAGGGCTCGTCCCTGCCCCTTGTCCCGCTCCTGACACTGTCCCCATCCCCGCTCCCACCGGGAGCAGGTTCGCCTCCCTGAGCTGCCAGGAAACTTCCCACCTCCGCTCCTCCGGGCACAGGCGCTCAGTCTGCCCCAGCCAGCGGCTCCGAGGAGCGGGCCGAGCGCGGAGAGCGCTCTTGACCAACACAGCGCGTGTTTTCCTGGGATTGTCGCCCCCAAACAGCTCCAAGGGGCGCCAGCAGCACAAGAAGGGGGCAGCAGTGGGGGTGTGGTGGGGGCAGAGCCAGGGCCGGGGAGCCCCGGCCAGGTTTTCAGGACCTTGAGCCTGTTTGGGATGAAGAAGTTCTGCTCTGGCAGCCAGAGCTGCACCAGTGGCAAGGCAGGAGATGGACCAGAGCATCAGTGCCTGGTGTGGTTTTGCTCTGTGTGGTTAATTCTGAAGGCATCTGCTGCTGTCGAAGCTCTCTTTGAATGGAAGTTGCCCACAGAAGTCTGAAGAGCAGAACCTGTGGTATTCTAGCAAACAGAAATGTTGAAAAAGTAGTTGAGGAGGCAAATATGCTATAAAAGTAATGCAGCCACTAAGAGAGCTCATTAATTTTCTTCCAGATAGGCTTAAACCTCCCTGCTTAACTGCCTGCAAGTGAAAGAAGTAATGTTTGTTACTCATTATTTGCAAATTTAGTCAAGGTCTAAACTTTTTCACAATTCAGTTGTGAACCCATTGTTCTTCTATACACATCACTTGAAGGAGTAACAAGTTGTGCTTTTGTTTTAGGCAGAGAGGAAAAAGTTTGTGGAGGTGTGAGTTCACTCTTCAGGTGTATATTTATGAAGTATTTAATAGAAGCAGGTTACACTGAATGAAGGGCTGAGCTCAGAATGTGGTGTTAAGCTGAAACCAAAGTCCTGTTGAAATGGAGTAAATTGAGCTGCTCTTCTGAAAAAGGATGCAGGGGAGAGATTTGCTGTGCTTTGCCAATTCATATTCATCTAAATTGATTTCTTCAATGGGGTAATCCCATAAACTCAAAGTTCAAATTTTGAGATTACTTATTAACTGTTTTTAATTTGACCTTTACTTTAGCTGCAGGGTTTTTTGTTGTATGCTTAGATTTCTTAATTTGTCACCTTTTTTTTTTTTTTTTGTTTTAATCCTGAAAGAAACTTATGTGCTCTTCCAACTACTCAGAATATTTTACTGCTGTATTCCACTCATATGAAAGTGTTGTGGGTTTTTATTAGCCTTGCTTTATAAATAAATATTGTATAATGTTATTATCCAAAATAAAAATGTGTTTGTTGGCTTCTGTGTGACATTTGTTAACATCACAACTGTTCAGCTTGGGTTTGAGATTGTGTGCCATTCTCCATTCTTATGGTTCATTACTCATTCCCAATAGAATTCCTGTGGGTTTAACGTCTTGACCTCAAATGATTTAAGCCATTTGATTTATTCTGTTCATTAGAGTGTGTCAGGAGATGGTTTTGTAGGTATAAATAATGCTATCTGAAATTTTCTGGGTTTTTTGAATGGGAAAATACTTGTTATTTACACTTTACTCAAATTTTTTTGTGTTCTCCACTTGCAAAACCATGTACTGCTGTCCTGAGGGCTGTAAAATTTAGGCCCTATTCAAAGACAAGCCATTTTATCTGAGACTTACTTCTGTTGAACAAATAAGAGGATGCCTGCAATTGAAACAGCCTAAAATATGACAGACTTACAGTGCAAAGACTTTAGCAGGCCTGCAGTGAGAACATCCCTTGCCTGCTTGGGTGGATGCTGCAAGTAAAAATTAAAAATAAATTAATTTAAAAATAAGTAGGGAGGTATTTATGGGGAAACTATATGAGAAAACAGACAAGGCAGCTGAAAATGCTGAGTAAATTAAAGCTCCAGGTAAAATGTTAGCAAGAAAAACATTGCCTGATTCGGGTACTTCTTTTGAAGTTTCTCCATGTGACTTTCTGAAAACAACTGACTCCAATAAAGGGGGCTGGAATCTTGCAGATGTAAAATGTATGGAGAGTTGTGGCATTCCTGTGAAATGACTTCACAACGTCTTAATGGGCTGATTTTAAAATGATACAAAAAAACTACTGTGTTCTTCTCACAGTCCCAGTATTAACAGAGAGCAAATTCTCTCAAGGAACACTTGTCAGCGTGAGTTGACTTAATTTGTCCTCTGTTAATTTGGGTTAATTTTACACAGATCTGTGACAACTTTGAAAGAGATGCTGTAAGACTGACTCTGTTTCTTGAGTCATTAACGTTGTCCTTACCGTGTGGCTGGGAGAAAGAAACACTAAACATGTTTGAAAAGCCACTAAGCTATGGTGGAAACGTGTAACTCTGAGTAAAAATACACCTATATGCTTTAGATTTTCACTTCTGTTGGAAGTAGAGCTGCTCCTGTTGCTCCTGTCCTGTATCAGTCTCCGGATGATTGCACAGGGACTGGTCAATGTTCTCAGGAGAACACCCAGGGAGCTTCTGCCATGCCACTGAGCAGCACACGAGGCTTCTGCAAATTGTATGTGCTGTGTAAGGTATTTCCCAAGGAAAATGAAGAAAGCTGTAGTGAAAAGCCCCCGAGTTTGAGCCTGCAGGTATTTTAAGCGAGCAACACCTCACTTCTTTCTGAAATGTCAAGTTTGTTCCCTTCCAGCCCGCAAGTTCACAGACAAGCACGAATGGATATCTGTGGAAAATGGCATTGGAACAGTAGGAATCAGCGATTTTGCCCAGGTATTGATCCCTCCCCCCTCTCCCCCAGGCCTGCAATATTTATTTGGGCATATCTGCTCCTGGCCTTGCTCTTTGGACACCTCTGGATTCTTTATTGTTTTAACTGCGCATGTTACGCGCTGAGCGCCATTTCTAGACTTGGATCTGTCACATTGTTCGTGATGTTTGTGCTGCTTCAGCATTCTAATAAGTTCTTAATTGCTTCAGGTTGAGCCTGTGGAGAAGCTGAACTTGCTGAGGAACTTTAATCCTTCAGTTCTTCCAGGCCTGAGCAGTTTGTGGCTGTGTGAAGGGGACACCACGGACTTCTTTTTAGGTCAGGTTTCCCAGGGTGAAATCCCTCTGGCTAAAGAACAGTTGTGAATAGATGTACAACATGGCACATATCTCTCATCCTGGGACAGGAGTTCCTTGGGATTCTTTGTTTTGTTCTGGTGCAGGTGATTGATTTGGAATGGTCACAGGCAAATTCAGGGCAGAGATTCGCTGGGTGTGAAACGTGAGAAAAATGAATGGCACAAGCTATCAATAAGTGGAATTAATATTTCTTAGGACAAACAGCATTTCCTGGGATCTCAGTTCCCTGTGGATAACACTGACACTGTGTGAGATCCCTGGTCTTTGGTGAGATAGGGTACCTGTGTCAGGGAAGAGCTGAGCCAATTCTTATGGTGATAAGGGTGCCAATTAAGCCCTTCAGGGCAAACTGTGCACTAACAGCTCTCCAGTTGTCCCTCTCTCTGCGAAGGAATCACTGAATCTTCTTTCACACTGCACTGGAAGTAAATCCTTTGTGCTTTGTGACAAACAGGTAATTCCCTCAAAACGTTGGGAACTTTGAAACAGTTGTTACTGATGTAACTGATGCTAAGAAGGTCAGCAGATGTTATTCCTCTTTCTGCCAGAAGAAATCTGCATATAAACTGAGCCTGAGGCTTATTAGCACTGTAATAGAGAAACAGTAATTTGGCATTTTGGGGCATGATAAAACAATCCCGTTTTTTCATGTTAAATGTTTAAAAAGAAAATGTATAATGCTTAAAGATGAGAACTAAGTCTAGAGAGTACTTATACACACATTCCAGGGTTACTGTATCAGCTCTCTGCTATGTATACTTTCCTTAATGTATGCTTTTGTTTCTCTTTTAAGGAAGCGTTAGGAGACGTTGTTTACTGTAGTCTTCCAGAAGTTGGGACAAAATTGAATAGACACGGTAAGTTTCAGCTCCAGTTGCTAATGAAGTAATTATTCTACTCATGCCACTCTTCCCTTGCGAAGATGAATTTTATGAATTAATGTTTATGGTCATTAATACCATTATAAAGCTCCTGGATGTGAAATAAATTCCACCATTTCCACAAGAGACTGCTTTAATTTCAAATTCTGTCAGACAGTGCCTGGTAGCAGAAAATACCTGCTGCTTGAACTGTGAAGAAATTTGTTCAAAAATAAAACATTTGAAATATTTATTTTAATGATTTTGTGCATAATCTGTTTTTAAGATATTTATGCTTTGATTTGGACTAGCAAGTATTTATTTGTAATTCTCCAGTTAACACATTTGTGAGCTACACGATGTGAAACATTTAATTGATATCAAGCTCTAGTTTTTCTACAAATATCCAGACTC